GAATATAGATATACATAATCTAACTACTGAATAGTTATACCATAAGCATATATAGATCATATTAGTTCGTTAATAGGTCGCAGACATTACGCGTAATTTATTCTTCACTCGGATATAACAGAGATTAATTCAACTAGAATTCTCCCATAGATGATTTTTATTCAATAACAATTAAACCGTATAAAATATGGCGGAATTTATTACCTTCTTTGGTTACATACAATAACATCCATTTGATCGACTGATTTGGTCAATAATAACGGTGAATTCCCTTCGATATTTATAATTTAAGCACGTATTAAGAATTATATGTCTTTTAGTGTATTTTATTATTTAAGTGTCTGGAAGCATGTGTGTATGCATGTATGTATGAATGTATACTCGTCATTAGTTCGAATGTACATATGTGGGTTTTAATACTTACTTATTTACTTACGCCTGTTACTCCCAATGGAGCATAGGCCACCGACCAGCATTCTTCAACTTACTCTGTCCTAGGCTTTCCTTTCTAGTTCTGGGTTTTAATACATAACATAAATAATTTGGGGCGTTTTCTACTTTCAACTATATATAGATAGTTTTATTGAGAAACAAAATGGATATATATTATTACATTCATGGGTTCTATAGGACAACTAATTTTCCCAATGTGATTTATCATACGATATTTATTCTTTTATAATAGAAGTATGAATCAATAAAGATATTTTTTCATTTCTCTTCTTGATTAATTACATGTTGTAATGGGTTTCCTTCGTTAATTGATCTTCTTCATAACTGTTGTAATATAAATCCTCAACTCTGTTTGAAATCAGAAGGCAATATAGAAGCGGCAAATACAGTTTATTATGGGAATAGCGTAGATCACAAAACTATAAGCGGAGGGGTGAATAAAGTGTATGCGAGCAATTACATAGGCAAATTTATAGTCGTCACTAAGGCAAAGCAAGGACTAATAATAGGATCTCAGTACATTCATACATACATATATAGGGAGGAGGATGAAACATCGAGTGATAATTAAGCAATCAAAATTTTAGCTAGAGTCTGTAATATGATCTAGTGATCATAATAGTAAAAAGAAATATGCGAATTATTACTGTTCAAATAACATTGTCCATTGTTAAGTACTTACTTAGTTTACTTACTGACGCCTGTTACTCCTTGTGAAGGAGCATAGGCCGCTTACCAGCATTCTCCATCCAACCCTGTCCTGGACAATCCTTTCCAGCTCTTTCCAGTTCTTATTCATCCTTTTCATATCTGGTTCTATTTCCCGACGTAATGTGTTCTTTGGCCTTCCTCATTTCCAATTCCCTTCAGGATTCCATGTAAGCGCTTGTCTCGTGGTGCAGTTTGATGATCATTGTTAAGTAAGTTAATCAAAAAGGCTTGGTTTCAGGATAGTGGCTACAATGCTCTTAGTTGGAATCCAGGAATAATAAGTACTTATTTGCCAACGTTATTGGATTTTTTGGTGCTGATAGAAAGAACAACTTTCATCTACTTGATGAAGACAAAGTAATATGTTGATATAATACAATATTTAGTTATACATTACATAAAAGAGGATAATAATGGAGCTTGATTCCTACGTATAGCTTGATCAGTACAAACTTCAGGTAGAAGTGATGATGTAGTTCAGAAGAACAATGAAAGTTCCACGACCAAACTATCGAGCTCAGAGAACAAAACTTCATCGAAATCATTCATCTGAGTTACAAATCTCCAGTTTTAAAAGTTTTGAAAATGAAATCTTCACTTCCTCAAATCATATAGCATTTGTTACACAAGGGTGTTCTTGTATGAAATTCCGTAAATGAAAATTCTGATCTCAACTAATAAATGTCATTCTGAAATCAGTGTTATGCACTACGACAACCAACATGTATCAGCAAAACCTATTTTTACTAGATTTTACAATGTTACCATGAATTTAACTTCAATATCATGTTTGTTTAGTCTTTATTATTGAAAATATTCATCAGTCAACTTGAAATTTTGGTACTACTCTACACAATTGAACATTGTATATCACATGAATGTTTCCATTCAAGAGGAAGTTCTGGATGTCCAGTTTCATGGCAGTTGATTCGTGTTGTCAAAAGATATTTCTAGTCTTAGAATTGTCTATGTTATACGAGATATGCATCTCAAAACTTCCAGTGACCAATGGAGTTCAGTCTAGTTAGTTGTGAGATAATAACTCACTGATGACAATGGTGGATATGTCTCTCGATTTCGTGGAGTAATTAAAGTTAGACATTAACACCGTTGGATGCCGTCTCAGTGGTCTATTGGTTGAATCCCGCGAAGCGGAGTCATGGAGGCGCTTAATAGAACAAAACGGCCGTCCAGTGCTTCCAAGTTTTATATTGTGGTCTAGCTTTAATTGACTCATTATCCCAACTATTGCAATTTCAAAAAAAGCAATTATTTGAATTGAATATATTTATGAATCACAGATGATTGTTATTTCAAATTTGTTTTGTAAACGTGACGATAAAGGAACTCATTCACAAATGACGTTGTGCCATGAAAACATACCTAATAAAGGAAGATGATTTACTGATGAGTGATACACTTTAAACTGTTTTATTTTTCGAAATATTGTCAAATACTACTACTAATACATCAGCTGATATATTGAACCCATCTAGGCTCATATGGTTGATCAGATCAATAGTTTGTTAAATGAACCAAGAAAACTAATTGATCATGCTTCATTTTTCTAACGTCATCAATCGTTACAGTATATTAGCAATCACTTGATGGGCTTTAATTTATAAACAAATTGATAAACTCTTCCATGTGCATTGTGATTTAAATTGGTTATCAATATACAGATACATACATAGTGAAGACCAATGAGCTACCTGTTGTCAAAATACACAATGACTTAAGATTTATCGTCAGCCAATACCTAAAAATTTCTGCATACTGTAGTGCAATAGCCGCCAAACATTTTAGAACTCTATGGTCATGTTATGCCCCGATAAGCATAATGAATGGTAACTTTTGTGATCCATTTACGGATCAATACTGTCTAAACTATTCATATTCATTTCCATCTTATTGTCAGCTTTAGTTTGACCTACGAATTATTATAATACGATTTACCATTCTTGAGTTATACCCAGTCTATCAACTACTATCTCCCTTATTCACAGAGACATTTGGCTAACTCCTGTCCAAATGTTGTTTCCTATTTTATGGTACGATGTGGTCTGTCTGGTTGGTATGTAAACCCTATATGTTTGAAATAAATGATTCATATTGCAGAGGCTGAGATTGGTGTTCTGGACTTAACTGGCAGGACTAAACAAGAAGCAGGACCGATAAGGACTATAGACTGCTCATACTAGTTTTATGCGTCATTGGTTCGGTCGATAATTCACTGCACTCTAATTGGCGGTATTATTACGTTATACATTAACAGGGCACACAGACCAAATGTTATAACAAGTTAATACGTAGGGTCTTTGGCCATGTCGACTCTAAAACGTTTCTGACTTTGGTATAGTATTGCAGTATTGTACAGTACTGAATACAAACGACCAGCACCTGTTTTAAAATAGACAGGGAACTGTTCTAAAAGGTTCAAAGAATCGCAATTAAGCTGATTCCCGGAATAGCGAAGCTCTCGTATGATTCTCGACTGGCCAAGTTAAACCTATTCCCGTTGTCATATCAGAGAATTAGAGGTGATTCGATTACAATTTTGAAATTACTTAGTGATAAATTTGCATCTGATATTGCCCTCATTTTTCTTGTTTTCCAAAACAGAGAATTTACGAAGTCACTCCAAAAATGTTCACAAACCCAGAACAAATTACTTGTCAATTGACTAGTGATTTTCTTATTGAATCATCAACGAGTGGAATTCATTACTTCATTACATGATTGAAACTCAATCTGTCGACTCTTTCAAAAGAAAGTTGAATCAAATGAGGGACGACTATTAGCATTACTAATACAATTCATCAAGCCTCCTGTCCTTTCCAAACTGAAACTGTTTGTAGGTATTCTATAGCAATATTTTTTTAGATGAAAAGAGAACAGAAGGAAATATCAGCTGATGTTTTTAACTATGTTGATGAAAAAATAAACAAACAAACTTATAGCCTTAGAAACGTGTTGTCTTATATATATTTTGACTAATTTGTCAGTAGATGTTTCAGTCTTACTTTTTATAATATCAAATTTAATCAGTATACTGTATTATACTGTCAAACGTATAAGTGAACATTTACTTTTTTTAATAGTTGAAATCATGAGTCAATTGAAGCTAGACCACCATGGAAAACCTGGAAGCACTGGATGGCCGTTTTGTCCTGTTGTGGGACTTCAGAGCAGTGAGAATTCACGATCCTTCCTCGCGAGATTCAAACCCAGGACCTATTAGTTTCGCGCGTGAGCACCTAACCATTAGATCACTGATCCAGCAGGCATCTGACCGTGTTAATGTCTAGATACAACTAATTCACGAAATCGAGCGACACATCCATCATTGTCTTCAGTAAGTTACTATCTCACAACAAACTCGAATGAACTTCACTGGTCACTGCTTCTCATTAGAACTTCAGGAAATACCTCTTGGAGACCATCACTAGTGAGCATATGTTGATTAATATCAGAAGAGATTTATATGTATATTATGGTATGGTGATCTAGCTTCAATTGACTCATGATCTCAACTATTTGTATGGTATGAATATTTTCCTTGGTTATTACGTTATGCTTAAAATTCTATTCATCATATGATCATTTATAATATAAAAGTTAATTAATGGGGCTACATATTCCTATTCATCCATGATTTTTTAAGAACAAACAAACAAATAAATAAACAAACATAATCAATCAATCAATTATTGATTATTTGTAAATTGCGCATTATTTGTTTCAAATAAAATAAACCAATCAAATGACGTTGTGCAACGATAAATCTGATTGGTCAAATAATAATATAAAATGAATGTAAATACAATAAAATTAAATTCGTGATTCAATATTTATTCAATTTCTATTTTGTTTTGTTTTGTTTTATTCATCCTTTAACAATATAAACATGAACATGAAATTTATTATTTTGACAATCATAGTCATATTTACCAGTTTACTTATATATGGATATAATGCAGAAAAAGCTCAATGTGGAAGTAAGTTTAAAAATTCCCGCTTCTTTTTTTAAAAAAAAAACAAAAAAAAATTTTTTTTGAATTTTTTTGTACAAACAGTTTTATTTCATAATGATTTTGAGGAATGTTTGGTGTGACTAGAATTTGATGATATCTGGCCAATGGATCCGAAGTATTTTACGTAGAGAGCTGTTGATAAATACTAGTGTCTTCTGAATGATGGCTTTTGTAGTTCTCCAGGCTTCCGCCGCAAACAGTAGAACTGTCTTGATATTTGTATTGAAAATTCTGAATTTTGTGTTGTTTGACAGACAGATGTTATGAGTTCCATACGCTCTTCAGTTGTAGATATGTTTCTCTTGCTTTTCTGGTGCTCGCCTCAACATCTGCATCAGATTCACCGTGTTCATCAATGATGCTACTCAGATATGTAAAGGTCTTTATATATTCCAAATCTTCTCCGTCAATTGTGATTTCATCGCTGCATGCTGTGTTGTATCGGATAATCTTGCTTTTATATGAAAATTATTGATGGTCAAACAAATTATAATCCAAGTAAACTCAATGATTATTGTAAATAATGGAGAGACATTTCTACTTAAAGTTTGTGCTGATAATGTCGTTCAAAAGAACGATGAAAGCTCCATAACCAAATTATACAGATCAGAGAATAATGCTTCATCGAAATCATCCAACTGAGCTACAAATCTCCACCATTTCAAAATCATATGAGCGTAATATGCTTCTCGTTGTTTGAAAATAGGAGAATTTCATCAAAAGGCAGTCTTTCACTCGAGAACAACTGTATTTTCTCCAAGAGTATCTTTGTTAGCAAATTGTATCAAGAAGTGTAAGATACAAACCTCTAATCAACTGCTTAATGGGATGAAAAATAGCTGAGTAAAGTGGAAGAAAAATAATGGACCTAATGAGAGAGAGAGAGAGCAAGTTAACATAGTATGGAGAGAATAAGAAATTGTTTCATTTCATTAGGGCATAAAATGACTTAAGGATTGTCAGAGTAAATTCAAGGTGGTGAGGCTATAACTTAAAGATGACATTTGAGTGACGCTAGACTGACCTTGAATGTCCACCTAATAACTAGGACCAAATGAGGGTTATAAACCAGTGTGTGGAATTTGAATTATGATATACAGTTGATGATTAAGGTTAGGAATTAGATTTGGGGGTTTACATCATGAACTGACATCAGCCATAATGCTAAATCTGTATTTAGCCGAATGGATGAATGAATTTTGCGCCAAAATCCGAGATCTGTTATCTTATACCTGATTGGTTCATCCATAAACTATAGTCTCGCTAAATGTCTTTATTTACTGGTTAATAATTAATAAATATAAAAGAAACCCTTACCGAATTAACTTTAATTCATAGTTTGCATTTAGAAGTGATATTAACTTGCATTAAAAACTAGAAAACCATTTCGTCCTAGTGTAGTGAACCAGAACACACAAGGTAGGGGGCAATCGAATGTATTTGAATACAAAATTTTTAAATATAATTTAAGTATATATACGATCCTCGTTGTTTCGATGGTTCCACAATGTCAACTTCAGTAGTTTCTGAATATTGTCTTGATGACTAATTAGAAAAACTAGCCGTTGAAAATTAAGTCCACTGTTTGGGTTACCTACTATTTGAATGTACAAAAACATTCTAATGAATCCAACTATTTTTGATCAGTTTTAACGGATACATTATGAATGGTAGCCTATATATTTTTATGCTTTCCTATATCAGCGGTTACAAATGATTACGAAAGAATGAAATGAAAATATTTCAGCTGTTTGATTTATCTTTCTTATTATCTATACCTTGGAAAAATCGATAGGCGAATTCGTGACTTTTCGATATAATGGAGGATAGATATCGGCGGCCTATGCTCCATTAGGAGTAACAGGCGTAACTGAGTAAGTAAGTAAAGAGGATAGATAAAATTAGCTAAACTAACTGAAAGCTTTCTTGATACTGATTGTCGAAAATTTGGATGTATTTTGAGTAAAAGTGTGTCTCATTGTAGTGAATGAAAATACAAGTGGGGACAACTAAGTGTATTTTAATACAAGATTATAAAATGTCTTAGTAAAATCTGTGAACCATACAGTATATACTTCATTCGCGAAATGTCAATCAATCATTTCAGATTTCATTGTTCCTTCATTTCCACACCAAACATTTATTGTTCACGTTCTCTTTTCTTTGATCTTCTTAACCCTCTGCCTCCAGGCATTTCACTTTTGTCAATGCTGGAGTTGTGGAGATTATTAAGTTTTCGATTGAGATCATGATCCGATTGATGTTAGACCACCGTTGGAAACCTGGAAGCACTGGAGAGCCGTTTCTTCCTAGTATTGGACTCCTCAACAGTGTGCATCCACGATCCCGCTCTCAGGATTCGAACCCAGGGCCTTCAGTCTCGCGCGCGAAAGCTTGACCTCCTGGACCACTGAGCCAGCATCCAATGGTATTAGTGTCTAACAGCAACTAATCCACGAAATTTCACTTTAGATTGATGATACATACTACTTATATTTATCGACATCAGTAGTACACATCACACTAGTATACTCACAACCGTAAATAGAACTAAATTATCTTCAGACTGATCAGTTATTATCTAAAGTTTTTCACTTCAGTTGACTGACAATATTGTTCTAGATAATTCATTGAAACTATTCTAATTAAATTTTATGGTTTAAATATTCATCCCAATGAATTAATTGATGTATATTCATTGAATAATGTACTTGTTGTGACTTTATGTCCATCTTGTTATCACGTGATTTATCCGCCAACTGAAATACGACTTATACAATCTTCACACTGTGCTAAACCAATGACTTTCAACCGGTATGAACAACCTAACAGTTTTTATTGGTCCCTTGTTCGCCTAGCCCGTCCAGTTGAGTCCACAATGCCAATAACAGCCTCCATTATGTGAATCATTTATTTCAGACAAACTGGATTCATATACCAACCAAACAGACCGCATCGCACCATTAAATAGGAAATAACATTCATACACAATAAAGCAAAATTGCGGTTGTGAACGTGGGAGACAGTAATTAATAAACTGAGTCTAACTTAGGAACAGTAAATCCTACAATAATAATCTAGAGGTCAAAATAAAGCTTATAACAAGAGGAATGTAGATATACATAATCTAATTACTGAATAGTTATACCATAAGAATATATAGATAATATTAGTCCATTAATAGGTCTCAGAAGGTACTCGTACTTTAATCTTCACTAGGATGTAACAGTACTTTTGGCTGTTTTATTTTAAAGCCCAAGAAATATATTATAATGTTTTTAGTGGCTTTAAATCTGACTTCAATTGTATTATTGAATGATTGCCATCGAAATATACATCCCAGTTATTCTTGTAATATAATCATCAACTTAGAATGTGTTGATGAATAGCGGAATTAAATACACCAAATGCGAGAATGGATTTCGAATACGTATATTTTGTACAATTATTGATCTAGACAAACGAGCATAGAAACGAAGAGAGCGAAGCGTCATGACGTTCAATGGAGAAGACGTTTGATCCAACTCTCATTTAACCAAGCGTTAATCAATATTTATAGTTACACAAAAATAGGTTATAGACATGCGATAAATAGGAGGATGAAAAGTTTACCTACACATACGCTCATATAAAAACAGTCAGGATAGATAAATGAATAATTAACAAATTGAAAACGTGACTTAAGTAGAATGAATAAACTGGTCTGTCTTGAAGCTAGAATAAGTTATGTGGGCTTCACATAGTAACCAACACTACATGTTAAATAATAGAAAGTTTAACAGGACACTCTCTTAGTGATTAAGTGAATTTTCTCTACCATGCAACAACAAGAAAGAGAATTATTAAGAAATAATTAAATTAGAATTTATATTTTGGGATTTGTTTATTTTAATGATAAACATGATTCTACTAATTAAATCATTTTTTTCTGGTTAGCATTTCTTCTGGCGAGTTAGTTTTCTACGGGATGGGGTCGCTAACCCTATGCCCGACCCTCTTCTTTTATCCGGGTTTGGGATCGGTAGTAGTCCCCGGGGGGACTCCAGCCGGAGTTACTAATTAAATAGACTATTTATTATTATCAGCTTTATTCAATATCATAGCTTTTGATACTGATAAGTCTTGGCAATTGAACGCTATATTCGGTTCCTAAGCTATACTCGTAACCCCCAAGCTAGAACTATACAACGACCTGAAAACGAGAGAGAAGGCGCAAAATATACGAGAAGCCCTTTACTCCAAATGTTCGTTTTAGTACAGAAAATATAGGGTTATTATAGTATTTTTAGATGTCCCTGGTTTTCCCGAAGATTCTAGAATGCTACTAAACATAGTAGCAGTATGGTAATCAGCCAATCAGAATCTCTACATGTGACATTTCACTTTCTTATTTCTGGCTAAACTTCAAGTGAATGTTGATTGGATAAAATGCTTCTTAGTGTTTTCCTGATCCTTGCTTGTCTTTTGCGAGAAATTTTCTGGATCACCCCAACAGGTACAATATAGAATTTTCAGTACAACGTATTTCAGTGACTTTCCTTTTCTGATTTCTTGGCTTATCCTGATGATAATATATTGAGTGATCATCAGTATAGGGGTTGTGGAGATTATTAAGTTTTAGATTGAGATCATGAACTGAGAAGCCGTGTTCAGTGGAGCGAATTCGTGTCGGGTAGAGACAAGTATCTACCTCGTTACAATGGAAGATAGTCGCGCAATTTCGTGGATTGGTTGATGTTAGACGTTAACATCATTGGATGCCAGCCGGCTCAGTGGTCTAGTAAATTGAGCGTTCGCACGCGAGACTGAAGGTCCTGGCTCCGAATCCCACGAGTGTGATCGTGGACGTACACTACTAAGGAGTCCCACAATAGAACAAAACAGCTACCAGGTTTTCAATGGTGGTCAAACATGAATCGGTTCATGATCTCAATGTTGAGTGATCGACAGTTAGATGTTAGCAG